GTGCCAAAAGCTGGATGTTGTAATGACATATTTATGTCCTTCATGTAGTTTGGTGAGTTTAAATTGAGCTCATTCCCTCCAAGTGCTAAATATATACTAACTTAAAACCTCATTATAAATATCCTAAAGAACGGTATCTATAAAGTGAATAAATCCTTGTTGCACGATCAGTCTTTAAATTAACTTTGGCTGATGTTCTTAGTCAGCATGAGTGCCAAATATAATAAACAAATTTCACGAAGCATGCTATCTGTTTGCGATCTCATAGTTTTGGATTTATCATTTCCATTTGACATTCATACTGTTCATGTAACCAATTGAAAACAAAAAGATACGTCGTATTCAGAATACGGATTCTCTTCTGATTCGACCGGGCTTACCATTTCTAACTCATGTTATAGAGGGACATGCATACTTCTGGTAAACACCGATAATGTCACAACTGTTCCAAGATCAAGCAGAACGCCGAAGGGTAGTTAACAACTGAATGTCTAAAGAGTAGATACCAGTCAGTCAATCTCTTTAACGAAGGATGTGATATTTTAGCCATTCCCGTAATATCAGACCATTTTACACTTCAACGATGTTGGTTTATTACTGATTTTGCATCATTGTCGTGATTCGGTAGATCGTATGCAAATATGCCACCATATAGCAAATATATTAAGACATTAAGTCGTATGTGGACAACTTGATGTCATAAATATGTCACCATATAACACCTCATTAAGTTGTAAGTCGGCAACCTGATGTCAGAAATATGTCACCATATAACACATCATTAAGTTGTAAGTCGGCACCTCGATGTCAGAAATATGTCACCATAAAACACATCAGTAAGCTGTAAGTCGGCAACTTGATGGCAGAAATATGTCACCATAAAACACATGATGAAGATGTAAGTCGGCACCTCGATGTCAGAAATATGCCACTATATACAACATCATTAAGTCGTAGGTCGGAAACTTGATGGCAGAGTATGCCACCATAGACCACATCATTCTTTCCTTGAATAGAGACCAAGCTACTCTTTGTTGTTTGGAAGTCATACATGTACCAAGTATCTTTTATAATCCTCCGCACTCGTACATTACTTTGAAAATGATATGTTAGTCTATTCAATATCATTGCTGCTACCGAAAAGACACATGCGATTAAACATTTCATATTTAGGATTTACTTTCCAACACTGGACGTTGTACTTTTTAACTGAACCATGAGTTGTCGTCATATGAAAAAAAAGTTTAATGGTTATTTTTGTTTTCAATATTTCTTCGAAAAATCTCATTTGCCTTTTCGTTTGATGTTTCTGTTTTAGGAACCCAAACATGGGACTTCCAGTTCCAGACTGGCCTGAATTTGACGAAAACACAAGACGATTTATTAACCTAGACACGGACATCACTACCGGATCTGATTTATTGGGAGACCGGNAATTGGTGCTTAACAACTAAATATGAAAATAAGTAGCTCACAGGGGTCAGTAATTGGTGCTAAACAACTAAATAGGCAGAACGTGTGCCAAAAGCTGGATGTTGTAATGACATATTTATGTCCTTCATGTAGTTTGGTGAGTTTAAATTGAGCTCATTCCCTCCAAGTGCTAAATATATACTAACTTAAAACCTCATTATAAATATCCTAAAGAACGGTATCTATAAAGTGAATAAATCCTTGTTGCACGATCAGTCTTTAAATTAACTTTGGCTGATGTTCTTAGTCAGCATGAGTGCCAAATATAATAAACAAATTTCACGAAGCATGCTATCTGTTTGCGATCTCATAGTTTTGGATTTATCATTTCCATTTGACATTCATACTGTTCATGTAACCAATTGAAAACAAAAAGATACGTCGTATTCAGAATACGGATTCTCTTCTGATTCGACCGGGCTTACCATTTCTAACTCATGTTATAGAGGGACATGCATACTTCTGGTAAACACCGATAATGTCACAACTGTTCCAAGAACAAGTAGAACGCCGAAGGGTAGTTAACAACTGAATGTCTAAAGAGTAGATACCAGTCAGTCAATCTCTTTAACGAAGGATGTGATATTTTAGCCATTCCCGTAATATCAGACCATTTTACACTTCAACGATGTTGGTTTATTACTGATTTTGCATCATTGTCGTGATTCGGTAGATCGTATGCAAATATGCCACCATATAGCAAATATATTAAGACATTAAGTCGTATGTGGACAACTTGATGTCATAAATATGTCACCATATAACACCTCATTAAGTTGTAAGTCGGCAACCTGATGTCAGAAATATGTCACCATATAACACATCATTAAGTTGTAAGTCGGCACCTCGATGTCAGAAATATGTCACCATAAAACACATCAGTAAGCTGTAAGTCGGCAACTTGATGGCAGAAATATGTCACCATAAAACACATGATGAAGATGTAAGTCGGCACCTCGATGTCAGAAATATGCCACTATATACAACATCATTAAGTCGTAGGTCGGAAACTTGATGGCAGAGTATGCCACCATAGACCACATCATTCTTTCCTTGAATAGAGACCAAGCTACTCTTTGTTGTTTGGAAGTCATACATGTACCAAGTATCTTTTATAATCCTCCGCACTCGTACATTACTTTGAAAATGATATGTTAGTCTATTCAATATCATTGCTGCTACCGAAAAGACACATGCGATTAAACATTTCATATTTAGGATTTACTTTCCAACACTGGACGTTGTACTTTTTAACTGAACCATGAGTTGTCGTCATATGAAAAAAAAGTTTAATGGTTATTTTTGTTTTCAATATTTCTTCGAAAAATCTCATTTGCCTTTTCGTTTGATGTTTCTGTTTTAGGAACCCAAACATGGGACTTCCAGTTCCAGACTGGCCTGAATTTGACGAAAACACAAGACGATTTATTAACCTAGACACGGACATCACTACCGGATCTGATTTATTGGGAGACCGGATACGATTCTGGACTGATGAAATACCCCGTATAATGTCAGAAACTGAAATGGTGATTGACACTGCTATGGGACCAATCAAAGGAATTGTACAAATTGTGAAAGGCGCGACCATCAACCAATTCCGTAAGGTTCCGTTTGCTAAGCCGCCAACAGGTCCCTTAAGGTTTTCGAAACCTGTTTCTATTTCAAACTGGACTGACACTCTTGATGCTACACGTTTCGGACCCTCTTGTATCCAAACAGTGTTACCGGGCTTTGACTTTACCAATCCAGATACATCAGAAGATTGTCTCTTTTTGAACATTTATGTACCGAATGAAATGTCAATGACAGCAAACAAGTCGGTGATGGTTTGGATTCATGGTGGGGGTTACACAAGTGGTTCAGGGATGTCGTACGATGGGACGTCACTAGCAATTCACGGTGACGTCATTGTGGTGACGCTTAACTACAGACTAGGTGTATTTGGATTTCTTAGTACAGGAGATTCCAGCGCACGGGGCAACTACGGACTCTGGGATCAGATCGAAGCTCTGAAATGGATTAAATCCAACATAAAATATTTCGGTGGAAATCCAGACTCAATAACGTTGTTTGGTGAATCAGCTGGAGCATTCAGCATTTCACACTTGGCTATGATTCCAGAAAACAAGGGTCTCTTTCATCGAGTTGTTATGCAAAGTGGCTCGTTGAGTTCCTTAGGATCTATCACGAAAGATCCTCTCACGAAATCACGAGCATTGGGAAGCCATTTAACATGTAACAACACTGATAATACCACGTTACTGATTTCTTGTTTACGTGAAATCGACTTATCAGTTTTGCAAAGTGGAGCGGCAGTAATATATTCGTCTATTACTTCGCTAGGAAATGTATTTGAAATGGAAATCACACCTGTTATAGACGGGGAATTGATTGTAAGTCATCCGGTCTCTCTACTTCAAAATCAATCATCGGAACAGTTTGCATTCTATCAATCACTTGACGTCATTTCCGGTTGCAATTCAGCCGAAGCATCTCTATATCTAATGCTTTTTCAGCTGTTTCCAAGTCTTTCTTCCCCTGCCGTCAATATTTCGGATGGAGTTCCCAGCTGGGTTCTAAAATTGTTCGCCCAAGTCGTGACCGAGGTATACTACAACAACGATACGAGAATTCTACAACCTATATATGACAAATACATTTCTACGAACAAAGAAGAACAAGGGCGACGTTTGGTGAATCTTTTTGGTGATATCATATTTTATATCCCCATGTTGGAATCCCTGCTGGCGCATGACAGAGAGGGAAATTCAAAGGCCAACACTTTCCAATATTTCTTTTCAAATCAACCAGTAGTCGATCCTGTGATTGGCGTTACCCCTAAATGGTTCCAAGGCGCAGGTCATTTTGCCGAAGTCGGATTTCTTTTTGATAACTGGGGTTATCTTCAAGGTGACGACAAACACCTTTCAAAGGAAATGATGTCATACTGGACTAACTTTGCACAATACGGGTGAGTTTCAAAATATGTTTTTACTTCTTTCCTTGAATAGAGACCAAGCTACTTTGTTGTTTGGAAGTCATACATGTATCAAGTGGCTTTTTTATAATCCTCCGCACTCGTACATTACTTTGAAAATGATATGTTAGTCGATTCAATATCATTACTGCTACCGAAAAGACACATGCGATTGAACATTTCATATCTAGGATTTACTTTCCAACACTGGACGTTGTACTTTTTAAACGAACCATGAGTTGTCTTCATATGAAAAAAAAATAAAAAAAATACTGGTTATATTTGTTTTCAATAATCCTTCGAAAAATCTCATTTGCCTTTTCGTTCGATGTTTCTGTTTTAGAAACCCAAACATGGGACTTCCAGTTCCAGACTGGCCTGAATTTGACGAAAACACAAGACGATTTATTAACCTAGACACGGACATCACTACCGGATCTGATTTATTGGGAGACCGGCTACGATTCTGGACTGATGAAATACCCCGTATAATGTCAGAAACTGAAATGGTGATTGACACTGCTATGGGACCAATCAAAGGAATTGTACAAATTGTGAAAGGCGCGACCATCAACCAATTCCGTAAGGTTCCTTTTGCTAAGCCGCCAACAGGTCCTTTAAGGTTTTCGAAACCTGTTTCTATTTCAAACTGGACTGACACTCTTGATGCTACACGTTTCGGACCCTCTTGTATCCAGCCAATGATCCAAGGCTCGGACAATCATCTTCCCAATCCAGATATATCAGAAGATTGTCTCTTTTTAAACATTTATGTACCGAATGAAATGTCAATGACAGCAAACAAGTCGGTGATGGTTTGGATTCATGGTGGGGGTTACACAGGTGGTTCAGGGATGTCGTACGATGGGACGTCACTAGCAATTCACGGTGACGTCATTGTGGTGACGCTTAACTACAGACTAGGTGTGTTTGGATTTCTCAGTACAGGGGATTTCAGCGCGAGAGGCAACTACGGACTCTGGGATCAGATCGAAGCTCTGAAATGGATTAAAACCAACATCATATATTTCGGTGGAAATCCAAACTCAATAACGTTGTTTGGTGAATCAGCTGGTGCATTCAGTATTTCCCATTTAGCAATGTTCCCAGGAAACGAGGGCCTTTTTCATCGAGTTATTATGGAAAGTGGTTCATTGGGGTCTTATGGCTCTATAGTAAAAGTTCCTGTGACAAACGCACGAGCTTTGGGAGGCCTATTACAGTGTAGTGATATCCAAAGTACTGAATCGCTTGTCTCCTGCTTGCGCGGAATAGATGCGTCCATTTTGTTTGATGCCTCTGAAATGGCATATTCGTTCCCGTTACTGGGGACATATTTTGGCCTCGCATTGCCATATGCCCCGGTCATCGACGGAGAAATGATTGCAGGTAATCCCATCTCTCTTCTTCAAAATCGATCCTCCGAACAAGTAAAATTTTACCAGTCGCTTGACGTCATTTCTGGTTGCAATTCAGCCGAAGGATCTTTACTAATGATATACATTTCGATGTTTCCGAGTCTGTCCTTGCCGCCCGTTAATGTGTCTGAAGGAATTCCAAGCTGGGTTCTCAATCTGTTCGCTAAAGCGATGACTGATTTATATTATAACAATGACACTAGAATTCTACCACATATCTTTGACAAATACATCTCGACAGATATAGAAGAACAAGGGCGACTTCTAGTGAATTTTTTAAGTGACTCACAGTTTTTTATGCCCATGTTGGAATCACTGTTAGTTCATGACCACGATGGAAATTCTAAAGCAAATACGTTTCAATATTTCTTCTCAAAGACCTCCCCGGTTGATGTTTTGATCGGTGTTCCGCCGAAATGGTTCGTTGGAGCAGGACACGGCGCTGAACTACCATACATTTTTAATGCTGGCTATTATATGTACGGTCCAGACAACGTTCTTTCAACACAAATGGTGTCATACTGGACTAATTTTGCAAAATATGGGTAAGTGAAACATTTGGTTATCTATGTTACATAGCATTCTTAGTTGACAGATGTGTGTAAGATTTAATCGCCAAGTTTGTTATCGTTTGCACATAGTGTGCGCACAAAGTGATCTTACATTACCTTGATACCCGTTTAGTTGATCATACATTATCATTATAGATATTTGTTAAATTGATAAAACATTATCTAAATATCTGTAAAATTGATCTCACTTTATTTATATGTCAGTAAGATTGATCTCACATTATTTCCATATCTGTTAAATTGATAAAGTAGGAATGTAATAATGTAGGTGATAACTGAGACGAACAATCGAGACGTTTTCACATCTAAATGTTATTCGAAGTTACTTCGACCTTTCAGTGTTTTTTTATAATTCATGACGTCGTTGATAATCCATCCCATGAAATGTCAAGGCCAGCTTATGTCATTCCACATTTCTAAAAATCGTCATCCGGGTTTTATATGCAACTGAATTTTATAGACGTTATATACATCGTTGATTTACGAATTGCACATGATTTCAATTGGCATATCACAAATGGCGCTTCACATTCCAAATAATCTTAATTATCTGTTAAACTCATCTAAAATAGAAACAAAACTACGACAATAATCTTGCAAATAAACAGTGTATTTAAATTTGTATATGGTATAAGGACAAGATGATGACCATCTACATCACTGTCAATCTGATTATACATTATCAAAACTAATTCTAATAATCAGAGACATACAATATTTATTCAATTAATATTATTTATCATTTCAGGAACCCAAACATTGGACTTCCAGTTCCAGACTGGCCTGAATTTGACGAAATCACAAGACGATTTATTAACCTAGACACGGACATCACTACCGGATCTGATTTATTGGGAGACCGGGTACGATTCTGGACTGATGAAATTCCCCGTATATTGTCAGATACAGACAGTATCGTTACAACACCGAAACCGATTGACGAGTTATCCAGTGCCTCTCAGCGTTGTGCTAGTATTATTATGCTTTGCGTATGTGTTATAATGTCGGCATTTGACTTTGTATGAGAATCAAAACCTAACCCATGTGAATCAATTCATGGTTTGTGTTTCATTTTATATTGTATAATGTATATAAAATCTTTAATGATGGGTTTCATTTTATATTGTATAATGTATAGAAGATCTTTAATGATGGGTTTCATTTTATATTGCATAATGTATATAAGATCTTTAATGATGGGTTTCATTTTATATTGTATAATATATATAAGATCTTTAATGATGGGTTTCATTTTATATTGTATATTATATAGAAGATC